GAAATAGACCCGAAGAAGATCGCGACAATTCAAGCGTGGCACGCGCCGACAAACTTGACTGAGTTGCAGAGCTTTTTGGGGTTCGTCAACTATGTGCACCAGTTCGTCCCCGACGTGGCGAAGTTGACTGCCCCGTTGACTGACCTGCTGAGGAAGGGGGTTGAGTACACGTGGGGGGAGAAAGAGCAAGCTGCCTTCTCGGACCTCGAACAAATTTTGTGCTCGCCGCCCGTGCTTCACATCGCAGATCCGCACCGTTCGTTCGAGCTCGTCACCGACGCTAGCGACATCGCCTGTGGGAGCAGTACTGTTGCAGGACTTCGGGAACGTCCTCCAGCCAATCACGTACGAGTCCCGCAAACTTCACCTGCTCAAGCGCGACTACCCGATACACGTCCGCGAGATGCTGGCGATCGTGCACGCGTTCAAGGTGTGGCGATGTTACCTCACAGGAGCAGACGTGACAGTACGGACAGACCACCGATCACTACAGTACCTTCGCACCCAACTGAATCTCAACCCGCGACCGATCCGCTGGTTGGACTATTGGGAGTCCAATTTCCACTACACGATCACGCACAAAAAAGGTGCATCCAACATCGCCGACGCACTCACACGCCCCACCGCCCAACTCCACGCCATCCTACTCGCCCAAACAAACCCACTGCTAACATGCCTATTCACCCACGGATACAATACCGACCCATTTTTCACGACCGGAAATTCACAGCAACTGGCAGAAGCTAAAGGAGTCTATTATGTAAAGACAGGCACCAACCGCATCTGGGTACCCGCGTACTCACTACTGAGGGAACTGTTACTGCAGGAGGCACACGACGGGATTACCTTGGGACATTTTGGGGTAGAAAAAAGGCGATAGCAACTGCAGCGGTATTACTACTGGCCGGAGCTGTTGACCGACGTATAGCACCACGTGGGCTCGTGTCCTACGTGTTAGGTGATGAAGAGCTCGCAAAAAAGAAAGACGGGTCAGTTGCAGCCAATTCCACTGCCCGAGCGCGCCTAGCAGCAGGTTACCATGGATTTCATCACAGGGTTACCTTCGAACCCTGGGGGTAACGACGCTGTTATGGCCGTCGTTGACAGGTTGATGAAGATGGCACACTTCGCTGTGTGCAAGAAATCGATCTCAGCCGAAGAAACCGCTCGCCTGTTCATCGCAGCCGTCGTTCGACTACACGTGATACCAGCCGCGATAATCAGCGATCGCGACACAAAGTTCACCAGCAACTTCTGGAAGAACCTTTGGGAACAGTTCGGGACCAGGCTACAGTTCAGCTCGTTGTACCACCCCGAGACCGACGTTCAAACGGAGCGGACGAATCAGACGATGGAGCAGTTGATTCGTGCCACGTGCGACGACCCGACAACTTGGGAGCAGCAGATGCCGCTGATCGAGTTCGCGTACAACAATGCCACGTCAGCGACGACGCAGCAGTCCCCGTTCTACCTGAACTACGGGCAAAACCCTATAGTGCCCATGACGCCGAGTCCGACAACCCAACACCACGTGTACAGCAATTCGCCGAGATTCTGCAAGCTGCCCGCACCAGAGCCGCAGAAGCAATAAAAAAAGCAAATGTCATCGCTAAGCGCAACGCCGACCGCTACCGCAGCCCAGTCACATACCAGTCCGGAGATTACGTCCTGCTTGACACACAGAACTTAAGGCTGCCCGTCGTACCGAAGTTACGACCACGCTACTATGGACCATTCCAAATCAGCCACATGATCACCCCCGTGACAGCACACTTACTGTTGCCGACAGACTGGTACATCAGCCCATCATTCCACGTCAGCCTGCTTTGCCCATACATCCCAACCACGAGCCAACTGCCTCGTCACTGCCCGCCATCCACGACTCGCCCTGCATCGGAGCCGATCATTGAGCCTGAAAAACTCATGAGCCATCGGATTCGACACCCCATAGGAATCAGGAAGATTGAGTTCCTCGTTCGCTGGAAGGACCGCACGCCAACTGTGTCACAATCAGTAGCTAGAATACAGGAGCCATAGCTAGGGTTTAGCTAGCTAGGCAAGAGAGAATAGGCAAAAGAGGGGGTTTCACTAGCAGGCAGTTGAGTACATATAACAAACCCTAACAGGGCTGTACTCACTATAGAGTACCCCACTGCAGACTAGAGAAATATAACATTCTGACACACCCCCATAGTCAAAGTGGGGTATAATCAGCACAGCAAGCAGTCACAGAGCAGGTTCACAAGTTCAAGCAAAGCTAGAGGCAATCACAGAGGGCAAGTGAGGAGGAGGAGGGACTGTGAGAGGAGAGGTGATGGGAGGCGATGGCGGAAGCTGTAGACACACAGGAGCGGCTGGCTCAGTGGCTACCGAAGCAATGGCCCGGACTACAGGAGTAACTGGCTCCGCGGCTACGCCGAGCGGCTGGAGCAACTGACCCACGGGCGACTGGCGACTACCGGAGATTGTAGCCTTCGGACTACTGGTACTGCTGGCGACACGATGGCTACTTCAGCTCAACCTCCCCCAACTGTCCCACCCCCCTTTCACACACCCCTTGCTATACCCCTAGCTCCACTCCCACGTTACCCCCCTAGCACCACTCCCTCGGCTCCCACACACCCACCCCTCTCAGTGGCAGCTGCTGCAGTGCGAGACGGAGGAGGAGGAGGAGCAGGGGACGGCTCACACACCTGCCACCCCCATACCCGCCACCCCATCCTAAACGCAGGTGGCGCACGGGTCCCTGGGGCGCTGCGACGGGCGACGGGAAGGGCGGCGCGCAGCCCCTGGGGCGCTTCGACGGGCGACGGGAGGGAGGGGTGATGCGCGGGCCCCCAGGGCGCCGCGGCGGGCGACGGGAAGGGCTGCGCGCAGGCCCCCGGGGCGCTTCGACGGGCGACGGGAGGAGGGGCGACGCGCGGGCCCCCGGGACGCCACGACGGTCGACGGGAGCGGGCAACGCGCGGGCCCCCGGGGCGCCACGACGGGCGACGGGAGGGGGGCGACGCGCGGGCCCCCAGGGCGCCGCGGCGGGCGACGGGAGGGGGGGGGCGACGCGCAGGCCCCCGGGGCTCCACGACGGGCAACGAAACCGCCGCGCGTTCCCGGGGCGCACGGCGGGCAGGAAACCGCCACGCGCCCCAAGCGCGTGGCGGGAAGAAAAAATGAACATCGCACGCCACGGGGCGCGCGACAGACAGTATGGTAGCGGAAGCAGGCGGGCCCACAGGCCAGGAGCGTAACCGCTCTGATAGCATGTCACAATCAGTAGCTAGAATGCAGGAGCCATAGCTAGGGTTTAGCTAGCTAGGCAAAGAGAGAATAGGCAAAAGAGGGGGTTTCACTAGCAGGCAGTTGAGTACATATAGCAAACCCTAACAGGGCTGTACTCACTATAGAGTACCCCACTGCAGACTAGAGAAATATAACATTCTGACAAACTGAGGATAGCTGGGTGCCCCTGGCCAACATCGAAAACCACCCTGCCCTGCAAGTGTACCTGAGGAGCCGGGGTTTCCGCGATATACACGCACTCGCGTAGCGGAGGGGGCTTCTTGAGGGGGGGCGTAGTGTAAGGAATTTTCTCGACATTCCTTACCGCATCCTGCAACATCGCGTACAGCAGCAGCCGTTGTTCGCCCGTTACTGCTAACGGGGCTTCGCCGACTTCGCGCGTACTGTTTTCACCAAACCTCGCACTGCTGGCCCGGCCGTGTCGGCCTACGCTCCGGGACTAGCCCGAACCTCACTGCCAGCGTAGCACTAGCTAGCTCACACGCACCGCGTTACCGTTTGCATGTTTCGCGTATAAATGTTCGCTCATGCCTTCGCTCACATTTTGTACTCGTTTGACACTTAGTGCAATCCTCGCTACCTCAATTCATTGCACCCGTAACAGCGGGTCAACCTAGCTAAGTGGTGTTATGAATAGTGAAATGAGAAAGAAACTATGTACTCCTAACCGCAGCAAACGAAGCATACAATATCGAGGCTGAATGCGAAGAGACGGAATAACGCGACGAGTCGCGTACGGTTTCGGAACATCTGGACCGTCAGGGCAGACAGGATCAGGCAACAGCAGTGGCAAGGATTCTGCCCGGACAGTTTTGTAACCGTCTGGAGTCGCACGGTTGGATTTCACTGCTATAAGGGAATGTACCCCTTAGAGTACATGGATAGTCTAGGTCATTTCGTACTCCACATGTACCCTTATTTATATGTCCGTATTTGCAAGTTTTTATCATCTCAATTATTTTACATTCACTTTGAGGTCAAGGGCATGGCTAATTTTCGGTTTTGAGCAAGCCTTGTGATCAGTGTTGCACCTGTTCAAAAACCTGATTATCAGTGTGACACCTTGTTCAAACCCTGATCCATCAGAGTTTTTCTTGTTTTTGAAAATCCAACCCAGTGGCATACCAATTTTAAACACCATGGTGAATTAATATTATCATTGCACATAATAAGAATTTTAGCAGGTTTCCTGCTTGCTCGGTAGTGTTGTCATGTCAGACATGTCAAACATATATGCTGCTGATTGTGTAGGCTGTAGTGGGGTAGCCCATATGGGGTACAACCCAAATTAGGGTTTGCTACTTGTACCCATCCTGTTGCTAGTTCATTCATTCCTCTTCGTTATTCTACATGGTTTCAGAGCAGGTCCTAGCCTAGGACCGATCGCTTAGGGCCCACCGAGTAGCGCTACCCCACCCGTCGCGCTAGTGTGATCACGCCGTACTGCCCTGCCCTACACTGCCCTGCCCTGCCTTGTGCTGCCTGCTGCAGCACGCACTGCTTTGCCTGCACGCCCACTGCTACAGCGCGCCCTACTGAGTTGCGCGCCGCCTGCTGCAGCGCGCCCTGCCCTGCCCGTGCGTCGCGCCGCCGCGTCGCCCTGCCCGCGCGTCGCGCCGCGCGCCCTGCCCGTGCCCGCGCGCCCCGCCGCCGCGCGTCCTGCCCTGCCCGCGCGCCGCGCTGCTGCGCGCTCTGCCCTGCCTATGCGTCGCGCTGCCGCGCGCCTCTGCCCTGCCAGCATGCCGCGCGTCTCTGCCCTGCCCGCGCGCTCGCCTCTGCCCTGCCCGCGCGCGCGCCTCTGCCCTGCCCACGCCGTGCGCCTCTGCTCTGCCCGCGCGCGCGCCTCTGCCCTGCCCGCGCGCGCGCCTTTGCCCTGCCCGTGCGCGCGCCTCTGCCCTGCCCGCGCGCACGTCTCTACCCTGCCCGCGCGCGCGCCTCTGCCCTGCTCGCACGCCGCGCCGCCACGCGCCCTGCCTTGCTAGTGCGCCCTACCTGAGCGCCGCGCCCTGCCCTGCCGTGCGCACCCTGCCCTACTGCTGTAGTGCTGCTAGCGCACTTCCTGCTGCACTGCTGCTAGCGTGCTGCTCTGCTACTAGCGCGCCCGACTGCTCTGCCTGTTATGGCGACTCTCAACGTTCTCACATTCGATTCGGAGGGCCGCCCCATAGTGTTCGCTGCATGGCTAGACGATTTACAGCTGTTGCTGCTGACAGACTCTAAGGACGGTACCTCGCTGTTCGACCTCACTTCTGGCGCCTCGCCCGCCCCTGACGCCACAGCTGACAGTGCGACCCGCTCAAAGTGGCTTACCCGTGACGCTGCTGCTCGCCTAGCCGTTCGCAATCACCTGCCGTTAGCCGAACGCGCCCACTTTGGCCAGCATAAGACAGCGAAAGCACTGTACGACGCTGTAGTCGCTCGTTACTCCTCCCCGGCCACTGCTGCTCTAGGCCGCCCTCTCCTGCCCTACCTGTTCCCAGACCTGTCCGCCTTTGCCACAGTAGCCGACCTAGTCACTCACCTCCGCACTAGAGACACTCGCTACCGTGCTGCGCTCCCCGCCGCGTTTCTCGACAAGAAATCCCCTCCCATGTACATCACGCTCTACTTCATAGTCACCCGCCTCCCTGACTCTCTTATTGCAGTCAGGGACCTCCTCCTAGCACTTGACCCCACCGACCTCAATGTCGACCTGCTCGAGAAGCACCTCCTAGCAGCTGAGACTAGCATAGTCGCTGTAGGCGCTTCTCGTGGCACCCCTCGCACCCCCTTCTTTGAGGGGTGTTCGCCCTCCCCCCTTCTCCCCTCAGTCGCCTCTGCTGCAGCTGTTGACTACCTTCGTGCTGAGGAGTAGGAGCTGCGTCTGCCCCTAGTGGGAGGCGCCGCAGCGGCAGGGGCAGGGGAGGAAGGAGCGGTGGGGGTGGCAGAGGTGCAGGTGGTGGTGGGGGCGATGGAGGCGGTGGAGGGGGCGGCGGTGGAGGAGGTAGTGGTGGTGGGGGTGGCGGGGCAGGTGGCGGCGGTGGTGGCGGTAGTGGGAGTGGTGGTGGCAGCGGTGGTGGCGGCAGTAGTGGCGGTAGTGGGGGTGGCGGCGGCGGCAGTGGGGGCGGCAGGGGTGGCACCGGCCAGAGGGGAGGCCTTGGAGGTGGCCAGCGGCAGCACTAGCGTTAGCCTCTTTCGTCTCAGGAGCTCCGTGAGTGGTTTGCTCAGCGTGGGGCGGCTGGGGGTAGTGGTCCCTGCCCGTATGTCATTCGCACAGGTGACCGCACTGGTCAGACATGCGGGAGGTCTCACACTCAGCACCGCTGCTTCTACTGCCTTACCGACGCCTTCCATGCAGAGTTCCCCGACGCGGCTGAGCTCCCCGACTGGGCGGCGCTGCTTAGGCAGAATGTTGATATCTTTGCTCTAGACTTTGATGCTATCCTATCTGCCATGTATGCATTGACTGTTAGTGCTGAGGGTGACTGTTACCTGTGTGTGCCGCCAGACCCAGGTATAGAGGCTGTTGCTCTAGGTGCTAGTGAGTCTGCTGCCCTAGGTGCTGGTGAGTCTGCTCTCTCTGGTACTGCGTCTGCTGCGGCCTTGCACACCTTCACGCTTGACTCAGGTGCCTCCCGCTGTTTCTTTCGCGAGAGTACCACAGTCACACCGCTTACTGCACCTGTTGCTATGTCCTTGGCTGACCCCTCTGGGGGCCCAGTCCTTGCACGTCCCTCCACTGTTCTGCCCTGTCCGGCGGTTCCGTCTAGGTCACTGTCAGGTCTCCACCTCCCCTCGTTCTCTACGAACTTGGTGAGCACTGCTGTCCTCCAGCATGTGGGGGGTTGACACCTTCACCCCTGGATGGCAGCGTGTGGCGATCTGTACGTGCTCCCGGACCCGTCGCCACCTCGCCACGTTCACCCGTCGGCCTGGGTCGAGTCTGTACACACTGACTACTGCGCCTCCTCAGGTAGCTGCGTCTGCGTCTGCGTCAGGTTTGCTTGCTGCCCCCTGCTCGTGTCGCGCCCTGTCGCACCGGACGCTCCTTTGGCACCACCGTCTTGGTCACCCCTCTGTGGCATGCCTCCGTGGCATGCACGCCCGTCTCCTTGTCTCTGGTCTTCCAGGGTGCCTCCCCTCCCACCATCGCCTGCCCCTCCCTGCCTTCCCTGTGTCGAGGGGCGGCAGCGCGCCGCTCCTCACTCCACCTCGTTCCCCTCGACAGAGGCTCCCCTGCAGACTCTCCACCTGGACGTGTGGGGCCCAGCCCGCGTCCGTGGACAGGGCCACGAGCGGTACTTTCTGCTGGTTGTCGACGACTACTCGCGTTACACCACGGTCTTCCCCTTGCGCCGCAAGGGGGAGTTCCCTGATGTTCTGATCCCTTGGATCCGTGCTGTTCGTCTCCAGCCCCGCGAGCGATTCGAGACGGACCTTCTAGTCCTGCGTCTGCACTCTGACAGAGGTGGTGAGTTTTCCTCTGACCTCTTACGGGCCTTTTGTCGTGCGGAGGGCATTCGCCAGACGTTCACGCTTCCGGCCTCTCCGCAGCAGAACGGGGTTGCTGAGCGCCACATTGGCTTAGTCATGGAGGTCGCTCGTACCTCCATGATCCATGCGGCTGCCCCCCATTTTCTGTGGCCGTTTGCAGTCCAGTACGCTGCGCATCAGCTCAACCTCTGGCCCCGTGTCTCCTTGCCGGAGACCTCGCCCACACTGCGTTGGACGGGGGAGGTTGGCGATGCGTCGGTGTTCCAGGTCTGGGGATGTCGAGCCTTTGTCTGCGATACATCCGCGGACAAGCTCTCCTCCCGCGCCGTTCCTTGTGTCTTCCTTGGCTTTGTTCCTGACGCGCCTGGCTGGCAGTTTTACCACCCCACCTCGCGCCGTGTCCTGCCCTCTTAGGACGTCACGTTTGACGAGTCGGTTCCCTTTTACCGTCTCTTCCTCTACCGCACTGCCCCTCTCCCTCCCCCGCCGCTCTTCCTAGCACCAGGTCCTCCTCCAATAGACCCCCTCCCCCCTCAGGGTCCTGCTCCCTCAGGTGTGTCCCAGGTAGATCCTGTCGAGCCTGTCGAGGTAGCTGTCGACTCTGGTGCTGCTAGAGGTGGTGCGTCTGGGGGAGCTGAGCCTGCGGGTGCGGGGCCTGGGGGTGCTGAGCTTGAGCGTGCAGAGCCCGGGCGTGCTGAGCCTGGGGGTGCTGAGTCTGAGGGTGCGAAGCCTGGGGGTGCTGAGCCTGGGGTTGCTGAGTCGGAGGGTGCGGAGCCTGGGGGTGCTGAGCCTACGAGTGCGGAGCCTGGGGGTGCTGAGCCTGAGCGTGTGGAGCCTGGATGTGCTGAGCCTGAGGGAGCTGAGCCCGAGTGTGCTGAGCCTCGAGGCCCTTCGGGTGTCTTTTCGTGGCCGGAGTCACTCTCTTCACTGCAGCTGCGCGAGTGGTTTGCTCGGCGCTGGAGCCTCCGGAGTGGTGCTGCTGGAGCTGGAGCTTCTGGAGGTGCTGGAGCCGCTAGTCCCGGAGGTGCTCGTACAGGAGGTACTGGAGCTGCTGGGGCTGGCGGTCCTACTGGAGCTGCTGGAGGTGCTGGTGCTGCTGGAGCTGGTGCTGCTGGAGGTGCTGCAGGTGCTGGAGCTAGTGGTGCTCAGGAGTTGGAGCTGGAGACCCTGGAGCTGGGGGCGCTGGAGCTGTCTCTGCTGGTTCTGGTGGTGCTTCGCGGCCGCGGCCGTACTTCGTTCCACTCCTTCAGCAGGTTCTTTGTCTCCCGCCTTCTACTGGTCCTACTCCTCCCTTACTGTGTCCGCCGCCTGACCAGTCGCAGTCGCAGTTACAGCCAGCCTCCCCACTGCCTGGTCCTTCTCTTTACACTGGGCCGACCGGAGGCCTTGCAGAGCGTCGTGAGCCTGCGTCTCGTCCTGCGTCGCCTGTTCGCGCTGCTCGCACTAGTCGTCGTGTTCCGCGTCCGCGTCCTCTTCCTGTCCACGGCACGCACCAGATGGCACTTGGTCCTTCCTCTGTTCCACTGCGTGTCCCTCTGCCGTCTCCTCCTGCGTCCTCCCTTGCTGACAGTCCGGACCCGGAGTCTGACTCCCTTCGTGCTGCTAGTCCTACTGTCACGCGTCTCCTTGCCACTGTTGTCACGGACCCTTCATTTGAGTCCACTGCTGCGCCTGCCTTGGTTGCTGAGCTTGTCGACTTTGCTGCTCGTTGTTGTCTAGACTACGTCGCTAGCCTTGTTGCTGAGTCTGAGTCTGTATGTCCTCCGTCCGTCGGGGGTGAGTGTGCTCTTGGCACGGACGTCCTTGAGGACAGGCAAGAGGACTTTGAGTGCTTTGCAGCTGCTGTACCTCATCTCGTGTCCATGCTGATTGCACCTGAGGGAGACCCGGATGCACCAGACATCCCGACTCCGCTTTCTTACGCTGAGGCGATTGCGGGTCCCTACTCCTCTCAGTGGCAGTCAGCCATAGACGAAGAGATGGCATCCTGGAAGTCCACATGCACTTACGTCGACGAGGTTCCCCCTCCTGGGGCGAACATTGTCGATGGCATGTGGATTTTCAGGGTGAAGCGGCCGCCGGGTTCTCCGCCTGTCTCCAAGGCACGTTACGTTGCACAAAGCTTCAGTCAGCGACAGGGAGTTGACTTCTTCCAGGGAGTTGACTTCTTCCAGACCTTCTCCCCTTCTTCGGGTGCTGCTGCACGTCGCCGCTTAGCGTGACTACGAGCTTCACTATCTTGACTTCAGCACTGCTTTCCTATAGGGCAGCCTGCACGAGGAGATCTGGCTACGCCGCCCACCTGGCTTTACTGGGTCGTTTCCTGCAGGTACCCAGTGGAGCCTCCGGTAGCCAGTCTACGGTCTCCGCCAGGCGCCTCACGAGTGGCACGACACATCGAGGACGACTCTTGCGGCTCATGGGTTTGCTCCTTCTACTGCTGACCCGTCGCTGTTTCTACGCACCGACACTTCACTGCTGCCGTTCTACATCCTCGTATACGTCGACGACTTGGTCTTTGCCACTGCTGACACTGCTGGATTGGCCCACGTGAAGTCGGAGCTGCAGAAGAGACACACGTGCACAGACCTGGGTGAACTGCGCAGCTACCTTGGCTTGCAGATCACACGGGACAGAGCACGGCGCACCATTACCTTGACTCAGTCACACATGGTGCAGCAGGTCCTTTAGCGCTTCCGTTTCGAGTACTCCTCGCCACAGGCCACTCCTCTGCCTACGGGTCACTCGCTCTCAGCTCTGCCTTCAGATGAGTCCGTAGAGCCGAGTGGCCCGTATCCAGAGCTTGTGGGCTGCCTCATGTACCTGATGACCTGCACTTGACCTGACCTTGCTTACCCTCTTAGCATCCTAGCACGCTACGTTGTGCCCGGGAGACACCGACCAGAGCACTGGAAGGCCGCTAAGAGGGTGATGCGCTACTTGTGCAGTACGTCGGGCATGGGGCTCGTGCTTGGAGGACGGAGTCGGGTTGACCTCACTGGTCACGCAGACGCTTCTTGGGTTGACGACTTGGCTACGCAGCAGTCGTCACAGGGTTACACCTTCAGCCTTGGCTCCGGTTCTGTTTCGTGGCGGTCTACCCGCTCGTCTTCTGTTCTCAGCTCCAGTTGTTAGGCAGAGATCTACGCAGGGGCCATGGCTGCATAGGAGTTACGCTGGCTCACCTACCTGCTGACCGGCTTGGGAGAGCCGCCTCGTTCTCCTCCAGTTCTGTACGTCGACAACAAGGCCATGATTGCCTTGTGTCACGAGCACAGACTGGAGCACAGGATGAAGCACATCGCTCTGCGCTACTTCCTTGCTCGAGAGTTGCAGCTGCGTGGTCAGCTTGTCTTGCTTACGTGGCCATTTGGGCCAACACTGCTGATGTCTTCACCAAGGCACTTCAGCCTTGTGATCATCAGCGATTCTGTACTGTTCTAGGTCTTTTGCCTACTTGGCCTCACTTGCTCACTTCTTGACTTTGCTTGTACTGTGATCTATATACTTATACCTGCATGCTTACACTTGCTAGGCTGTGAGAACTGTACTGCCCTGCCCGCGCGTAGCGCCGCCGCGCGCCTTTGCCCTGCCCGCGCGCCGCGCCGCGCGCCTCTGCCCAGCCCGCGCGCCGCGCCGCCTCGCCCGCCCCTGACGCCACAGCTGACAGTGCGACCCGCTCACAGTGGCTGACAGTGCGATCCGCTCACAGTGGCTTCCCGTGAGTGGTTTGCTCAGCGTGGGGCTGCTGGGGGTAGTGGTTCCTGCCCGTATGTCATTCGCACAGGTAACCGCACTGGTCAGACATGCGGGAGGCCTCACAATCAGCACCGCTGCTTCTACCGCCTTGCCGACGCCTTTCGCGCAAAGTTTCCTGATGCACCTAAGCTCCCCAACTGGGCGGAGCTGCTTAAGCAGAATGTTTATATCTTGCTCTAGACTTTGATGCTATCCTATCTGCGATGTATGCATTGAGTGTTAGTGCTGAGGGTGACTGTTACCTGTGCATGCCGCCAGACCTTGGTATAGAGGCTGCTGCTCTAGGTGCTAGTGAGTCTGCTGGCCTAGGTGCTGGTGAGTCTGCTCTCTCTGGAACTTCGTCTGCTGCAGCCCTGCACACCTTCACGCTTGACTCAAGTGCTTCCCGCCGTTTCTTTCGCGACAGTACCACAGTCACACTGTTACTGCACCTGTTGCTGTCTCCTTGGCTGACCTTTTTGGGGGCCCAGTCCTTGCACGTTCCTCCACTGTTCTGCCCTGTCTGGCGGTTCTGTCTGGGTCACTGTCAGGTCTCCACCTCCCCTCGTTCTCTACGAACTTGGTGAGCACTGCTGTCCTCCACGATGCGGGGGTTGACAGCTTCACCCCTGGACGGCAGCGTCTGGCGATCCGTACGTGCTCTCGGACCGGTCGCCACCTGGCCACGTTCACCCGTCGGCCTGGGTCGAGTCTATACACACTGACTACTGCGCCTCCTCAGGTAGCTGGGTTTGCGTCTGCGTCAGGTCAGCACGCTGCCCCCTGCTCGTGCTGCGCCCTGTCGCACCAGACGCTCCTTTGGCACCACCGTCTTGGTCACCCCTCTGTGGCACGCCTCCGTGGCATGCACTCCCGTCTCCTTGTCTCTGGTCTTCCCAGGTCTCTGTCTCCCCTCCCGCCCTCGCCTGCCCCTCCCTACCTTCCCAGTGTCAAAGGGCGGCAGCGCGCCGCTCCTCACTCTTCCGAGTTCCCCCCGACAGAGGCTCCCCTGCAGACTCTCCACCTGGACGTGTGGGGCCCAGCCCGCGTCCGTGGACAGGGCCACGAGCGGTACTTTCTGCTCTCTGTCGACGACTACTCGCGTTACACCACGGTCTTCCCCTTGCGCCGCAAGGGGGAGGTCCCTGATGTTTTGATCCCTTGGATCCGCGCTGTTGGTCTCCAGCTCCGCGAGCGGTTCGAGACGGACCTTCCAGTCCCGCGTCTGCACTCTGATAGAGGTGGTGAGTTTTCCTCCGACCTCTTGCGAGCCTTTTGTCGTGCGGAGGGCATTCGCTAGACGTTCACGCTTCCGGCCTCTCCGCAGCAGAATGGGGTTGCTGAGCGCCGGATTGGCTTAGTCATGGAGGTCGCTCGTACCTCCATGATCCATGCGGCTGCCCCCCATTTTCTGTGGCCGTTTGCAGTTCAGTACGCTGCGCATCAGCTCAACCTCTGTCCCCGTGTCTCCTTGCCGGAGACCTCGCCCACACTGCGTTGGGCGGGGGAGGTTGGCGATGCGTCGGTGTTCCGGATCTGGGGATGTCGAGCCTTTATCCGCGATACGTCTGCGGACAAGATCTCCTCCCGTGCCGTTCCCTGTGTCTTCCTTGGCTTTGTCCCTGATGCGCCTGGCTGGCAGTTTTACCACCCCACCTCGCGCTGTGTCCTGCCCTCTCAGGACGTCACGTTTGACAAGTCGGTTCCCTTTTACCGTCTCTTCCCCTACCGCACTGCCCCTCTCCCTCCCCCGCCGCTCTTCCTCGCACCAGGTCCTCCTCCGGTAGACCCCCTTTCCCCTCAGGGTCCTGCTCCCTCAGGTGTGTCCCAGGTAGACCCTGTCGAGCCTGTCAAGGTCGCTGTCGACTCTGGTGCTGCTAGAGGTGTTGCGTCTGGGGGTGCTGAGCCTGCGGGTGCGGGGCCTGGGGGTGCTGGGCGTGAGTGTGCGGAGCTTGGGGGTGCTGAGCTTGACCGTGCGGAGCCTGGGGGTGCTGAGCCTGGGGTTGCTGAGTCTGAGGGTGCGGAGCCTAGGGGTGCTGAGCCTGCGGGTGCGGAGCCTGGGGGTGCTGAGCTTGAGCGTGCGGAGCCTGGAGGTGCTGAGCCTGGAGGTGCTGAGCCTGGGTGTGCTGAGCCCGGGTATGCTTAGCCTGGAGGCCCTTCGGGTGTCTTGTCACGGCCGGATTCTCTCTCTCCACTGCAGCTGCGCAAGTGGTTTGCTCGGCGCTGGAGCCTCCGGAGTGGTGCTGCTGGAGCTGGAGCTGCTGGAGCTGCTGGAGCCGCTAGTCCCGGAGGTGCTTGTACTGGAGCTGCTGGGGCTGGTGGTACTGCTGGAGCTGCTGGAGGTGCTGGTGCTGCTAGAGCCGGAGTTGCTGGAGGTACTACTGGAGCTGCTGGAGGTGCTGGTGCTGCTAGAGCTGGAGCTGCTAGAGGTACTGGAGCTTCTGGGGCTGGAGGTACTGCTGGAGCTACTGGTGGTGCTGGTGCTGGTGCTGCTAGAGCTGGAGCTGTTGGAGGTACTGGTGCTGTCGGTGCTGGTGCTGGAGGTGCTGTGCGGCCGCGACCGTACTCCGTTCCACTGCTTCAGCAGGTTCTTGGTCTCCCGCCTTCTGCTGACCTTGCTCCTCCGTTCCTGTGTCCACCGCCTGACCAGTCCTAGCCACAGCTACTGCCATCCTCCCCTCTGCCTGCTCCTTCTACTTACACTGAGCAGCCTGGAGGTCTTACTGAGCGTCGAGAGCCTGTGTCTCGTCCTGCGTCGCCTGTTCGCGCTGGTTGCACTGGTCGTCGTGTTCCGCGTCCGCGTCCTCCTCCTGTCCCCGGCTCGCACCAGATGGCACTTCGTCCTTCCCCTGTTCCACTGCGTGTCCCTGTGCTGTCTCCTCCTGCGTCCTCCCTTGCTGACGGTCCGGACCCGGAGTCTGACTCCCTTCGTGCTGCTAGTCCTACGGTCACGCGTCTCTTGGCCACTGTTGTCACTGACCCTTCCTTTGAGTCCACTGCTCCGTCTGCTTTAGTTGCTCAGCTTGTCGACTTTGCTGCTCGCTGTCGTCTAGACTACGCCGCTAGCCTTGTTGGGTCAGGGTCTGTCTGTCCTCCATCCGTCGGGGGTGAGTGTGCTCTTGGCACGGAGGTCCTTGAGGACAGGCAGGAGGACTTTGAGTGCTTTGCAGCTGCTGTACCTCATCTCGTGTCCATGCTGATTGCACCTGAGGGAGACCCGGATGCACCAGACATCCCGACCCCGCGCTCTTACGCAGAGGCGATAGAGGGTCCCTACTCCTCTCAGTGGCAGTCAGCCATGGGCGCAGAGATGGCATCCTGGAAGTCCACAGGCACTTACGTCGACGAGGTTCCCCCACCTGGGGCGAACATCGTAAGTGGCATGTAGATTTCCAGGGTGAAGCGGCCGTCGGATTCTCCGCCTGTCTTCTAGGCGCGTTACGTTGCACGAGGCTTCAGTCAGCGACAGGGAGTTGTCTTCTTC